CTTCGATATATTGGAGAACGAAAGCTGACTTGGTTTGAGAGGTGCAACATAGTAATCTATTTTATTAGTATCTCTCGTCGAGAGTAGTTATATTCCTTAATTAGTACCCTCAGAAATTTTGCGTTCGCGTCCCTTTTTATCTTCTTGTTTCCCTGTTAGTAGGTTAATCGTAATATCATTTTTATTTTCAGATTTTTCTGGTTAACAGCATTTGGCTGTTCTTTAGTAAGTGCAGGATTTTTCATATTAAACATATACGCAAAGTGGCGCTCGTCCCCGATGATAGTCAGCATTAACCCGGAGAACATGCCTCTCAGCAACCTGCCATTCCCCGCGCTCACTGTCTGTAACGTCAACCAAGCGAAGAAGACCGTAGCTGAAAGATATTGGGCGTATGGGTAACTGTTTCTCTAGCAGCACCTTCATGCTTGCTATAGAATTACTTTTTACGTCTCATTATTGTAGTGTTTTACGAGTCCCCCAAAAATGATATCAAAAATATTGTAATTTGGTGTTTGTATACTTTTAGTGTTTAATTATCTCTAGTACCAATGCCGTAAATTAGAACCTACCTATGCTTTATAGTGTCTTGAGCACAATGTGGTTTAATGTGTCTCCTTAACCAAGTAAAAATTATTTGAATAATTGGCTTATTTGCTATTTAGTTCACTCATCCATAACACTGTTGCTTTGTTAACATAATCATTACAAATTATAACATTGCTTCAGTGAGAAATCAAGCGTAATATAGTGTTTAGAACAAAATTCATCTCTCTGTTTCATTAAAAAATTAAGTAGATTTAAATTAGTAAGTACATGTTAAAGACCTTATATCCTTAATACATTACAGGAATCCGGTTGACAAGAAGCTGCTTCAGAGTTTGTGTACCACAAAAGACGATTCTGAAATATTCGAGGATGGAATAGCGGGCAGGGCTGACTGGGACCATACCAGATCGTTTCTAATTAATGTTGGTTTAATAATAAATATTGCCCACTAATTTGTGGCAAAAACTCCACGACATCATCAGATTTTACGTTATATCGTCGAAAAGCTAATACCAAAATATATGTACCATCCATTTTTCGCCAGTACCATTTATGTAAATGTCCTATCATTGGTGACCATACCTCTATAAAGCACCCTATAAAATGCACCTCCTATCCTATAATCTTACTTAGCTGACTTATCGTTTAATAGTTTTATCCTGTTCGCTCCAGGTGACACAACCGTGCAGTGAAATGCTGGCACAATGTATCTGGGACTCGTCAGTTATGAACTGCGAGGACTTGTTCAACGCTCAGCTGACAGACGAGGGACTCTGCTGCACCTTCAACGTGGTACATAGAAATAAAATGTTCAGGAACCCGTAAGCACATTCAATTACTATTAAAATTTCATAATTTCCTTATTATTTACAAATAGCATCCCAAAAATATATATATTTTCTTGTTCACAGTCGTTCTCTCAACGACTTGAACATAACATTTCCATCACCAGCCGTAGACTGGACACCAGAGGATGGATACCCTGCTGATGCTCCTCCTGATGGCTTTCCATGGAGACCTAAAGGTAAAAAAATCACATTATTTTAATATACTATTAATGCTATTCTAAGGCTTACAAACATATCTATACCTAGCATATTGTGGGGTAGACTGCAAAAGTTTAACATTAGCTAGTGCCGTGTGTGTCGGTATCAGTTTCTTTGAGTACTTTGTTTCTTTGCAATTTTAATGAGTGCGTTTATGCTTTGCTCATGGATGTTTACTGTTACTTGTAAAATATCTAACGTATCTAAAATGTTATATCTTTGTCACATATATTAACGTAATTGTCATATTGAATGGGTTTATAAATTTATAACATAAAACTTGTTAAGCGAATGTGAGTACCAATACAAACCAGCTGTGGTTTAATGGTGCAAATAAGAAATTTTAAACTGTACTGAAATGTAATAATAAATAAATAAATAATAAATAAAAATAACCTCCTTGCTTTTTCGCTTTAAGGAATTGGCACTCATCACGGTCTCTCCCTGGTATTGGACGCTAATCTTGCGGAATACTATTGCGCTTCTACGAAAAGTGCTGGCTTCAAGGTTTGATCTTTTCTATTCAATAAACAGATCATCTCATGGATGATTTAAATTCTAACGTTGTCCATGTTTTTTTAGATTCTGCTACATAATCCCACGGAAACACCTAAGATAAGAAATCTCGGAGCTATATACGGTCCGGGCAGAGAAGCAAGAATTGCGATTTGGCCAAGGATATCAGATGCACAACCATCTCTTCGATCTATTGATATTAAGAAAAGGCTTTGTTTATTCTCTAATGAAAAAGAATTGGTATTTTTCAGGTAGGCATTCCAGAGTAAGTGACCTTACCGGTAGGTGAAATTATCATGACTTTGATATTTTATCTACGTGCATCTAAATGAAGACTGCTGTTTGCACTAGATACTGTAATAATAGGTCGTAACAAATTAGATTTAGATTTCAGATCATAACTGTGGTTTGTTAGTCATTTAACCATAACATTCCTTCCTTATTGTATAACTTCAGATGATGTAACAGTTATTTAAAAATGCATGCATAGGCACAGATTTATATCTATTACGACAAACTGTTCGATATTTCCACAGAACTTACACTTTGAAGAACTGCGAAATGGAGTGTGAAGCGCAAGCTATGCTGGACGTATGCAAATGTGTCTACTATTATATGCCCAGTAAGTCAGTTTATTAGTTAAAAAATATTGTGTTAAATGATTAAATTATGTAATCACATTGTTGTCATAAGAATAACGAAGTTAGGACCACTAGGTAGGGTCTACAGCAGGGGGTGACACTGGGTCTGATGATTATACTCAAGAGCACTTAAGAACAGATACAATACATAACATAACATAACATCATGCCTTTTATCCCCGAAGGGGTAGGCAGAGGTGCACATTATGCCACTGTACAATGTAACACCCACTTTTCAATATTTATGTTATGAGTCCCATGTAATAGGGACACCTATTGCCATACACCGGGCACAATTCCATACTCCGTGCTATTACTAAGAATTTTTTTAAAACCCAGTAATACTTTGCCCGACCCGGGAATCGAACCCGAGACCCCTTGCCCGGCAGTCGCACTTGCGACCACTCGACCAACGAGGCAGATACAATACAAATTTGTAGATACCCAGCGATAATATCTGACAAAATATTCGTATGGACTTACAAGTGCGTTGCCGACCTTTGGCGATGAGGGATAGGGGAATGATTGGGCCCCCGGTAACCTTATTCACACTTTATATTAAACTTTTTCAGAAAACAAATCCACTCGTATTTGCGGGAAGGCAGATGCGAAATGTTATACAAACATGAGCCTGATCATGCCTGAAGGTTGGTCTTCTTGATAATGTCGCTGATCAATGCATTATATTACATGTCTTTCTGAGTTTATTTGTAAGTAATTATATTTTTTATTGAATTCAGGTCGCGACATCACTTGCATGGAGTGTCTGCCAGCATGCACGGAGATCGCCTACATGGAGAAGCTGAGTGACGCGCCGCTCAAAGAGATGCTCGTGGCACAACTTGCTAGGACCCTCGGCAACAGAACTCCTGAATATTTCACGTAAGTTTTTACTTACTTAGCTTTTGTATTGATACCTACCTACCTGGTCCCTAATCAATAATCATATAACTATTCTATTTATTATTTTCAGGGAAAACATGCTGGTTGTCCACTTTTATTTTGAAGAAAACACGTTCATGAGATTTACAAAAGGAGAAATATTTGGACTCACTGAATTCTTATGTAAGTCTGCCAAAGGCTTTTTCACAACCTTTTTTACTTGTAAGTACCTACCTAGCTGAAGGACTAATAGGGTAGGTAGCTACCTACCAAACATTTTGTTTTTCTATCCACAATCATCTAAAGGCTTTAATCCGATAAAAATATGATATCCCCTATACTTATTATACTCTTTGAATATGATGTCTTTCTTTTATGGTTATGTGGAGAGTACACATCCTGTGATGTGCCATCTCATTTTTTTTTTATATGTAGATAAGTATATGTTTTTTTAAATGTACATACCTACTCATATTTTTTTTAGTTTTGTTAGTTTTTTTATATTGATGCTAATCGTATTATTTTCAGCCGGAACAGGCAGTTGTTTGTATTCATAAGCTCGGCAGCTAGATAATTGCTGTGTCGTTCAAGGCGTTTTTATAGGCCACAGAAGACCTTTATTTCTTCCTTTACTGTTGGGATTAGCAAGTAATCATGCACTTCAGTGTTCCTTGTAAACCATGGCGCATTGATCGATGTTCTTAACACTTTGTTCTGGGAGTGTTGGAGAATTTCTACATTAAAGTGACTTGCTGCACCCCAGAGTTGTATGCTGTACCTAAACATAGGTAGTTTTTTTTACTTTCATTTAAAGTTTTGGCAAATAGTCGCCAGACCCGATTTACCCGATTTACCCGATCCAGATTCCAGTTCTGGATCGGGTAAATTGACCAAAGGCTCCTCAAGTTGAATACGATTTAAATGGTAAATTAGGTATTATAAGTATAGTTAAGTTGTATTTGTTCCAGCCAACACGGGCGGCTTGCTGGGGCTGTGCATGGGGTTCAGCATGATGAGCGCAGTGGAGCTGCTGTACTACCTCACCCTGCGCGCGCTCTGCATGATGCGCCGCCGCCCGCATACACAACCATTCGTTAAATAAATACTATTATTCAGTACAGGCTTTTTTTTATCATAAGTATTCTTAGAGTATAATCCACTTATCACCAACACCTCTCTTCTAATGGGTATAAGAACTGATGAATAAAAACTGATGAAATGATGGCTTATAAGAACCGATTTTCAGCGGATTAACTGACCTCAATCCAAAATCTTTGAATTTCCTTTTTTTAATGGTTAAAGATAGAATGTTCTGTGACTAGACGGCCTGGTGATAATGATGACGGCGATGTAATTAAAAAATACATTAGCTTTAACTAAAAAACTTTTATTATACTTATCTAAAAGTTATACAATAACTCAGTCTGTTCAAATTTTCAACGACATTCCCCATAAATTTGTTTCTTCTAAATAGTGATGTCATGGTGCCAACTGCTAATTCACAAATCAGATGGTGATCATTATAACATCCCACTTTTCAACATAATTATATGAAGGGTAAGCAAAAATGCACTTATACAATGTAACATTCACTTGATCCAGTTATGGTTGATTTTTAACAGTTTGTTTACCATTACAACAAAACCAGAACTATTGTGTATAATAATATACATGTATAATAAAACAAATAAAACACTACTACCACATAGAATCAATACTGTACATTGTAAGGACCATCCAAAAGGATCTGGCAGCTGGCAGTTGACTTCTCTATGAATGAATGCCATCATTTTCAGTAGATTTGTATATAATGTACTATGTAAATGTAATCCACACTTAGAGGATACATTATTGAGGATACACTAATTGTGTGGAAGCAATTTAATTTGTATTTATTAACCTCTTGACTGCCGGAACGCAGATCTATGCGAGACACAATGTGTTTTCTATTGTCTCATATATCAACTGACAAGAGGTTAAAGGACTTTTACAACAGGCCATGCTCCTTACAATGAAGAAGCTTCATCATTGCTTTCTATATAATCTGTGATATGTCTATGTCTGTTGTCGGGGTGGTCCCTGCTGTGGTGCTGCGGGGGGAGCGGGTGGCGCCGGCGCATCCGGCGGCTGTAGCGTGCGCGTACGCCGCCGTGTGTAGTGTTGCCACAACAAAATTGCTTGATCATCCATAAATTTGCAAACCTGAAAAGTCACCAAATATTATTTACTGTAATACTGCTTTAAGTCCAAATCCTGGTTAAGATACATCAGAATCAACACGAAAGATCCACATTATTAATATTGATTATAAAATTAACTCGTCAAGTACCGGTTTTGTAGACACAATTATAGAACAATAGGTTGCGGTCACCGGTGACCGCTTGGTGTTTGACAGTTTAAACACCATTGAAATTAGCTAATGAGACTGAATTATCAATTTATTTGTAAACATATTAGAACCACATACCTGTGCTGAAACACATTCTCTTCTAAATGCTTCGTGTTGCAGCAGCTCTAAGAAGTGGAGGCACATTGGGTACTTGAGATAGCGAGCATATTCTGGCTCCCGCCAGTATTGCAAGTAGCGGAGGTAGTTAATGAATGTAGCTTCTTTCAAATAACCACGCTGTGCCAGGACTGAAACATGTTTCATATTCGAATATTGTTATTCATACTCGTAACAACGTAGGTATGTAACTGTAGACAGTAAGTTGTGCATACTTACAGTGTATGTAGTTAGGGTTGGCTAAACATTGTACAAACTCTAGTTCAACTTGAAACCTTATTCTGTTTTGTTCTTCTGTTTCTGGCATTGCTGAAATACAAATAAATCTTTGATTCGTTTCTTTATCAAATTAATAACATGAAAGTTATAGTGAGGAGAGTAAAATCAGCATAAATACCTTTTCCAGCCATCATCTTGAAAGTTTTTGTGTATTAAGTGTGCACCCATGAAAATTCAATTATTTTACTAGATGCTGTCTATCAGATGATCGTTTATGATTAATTTACAGCTATGAACACGCAAATTGAGCGAAAAACCATCTTCACTTCTCCAGTTCTTCAACAAACAAACGTCAACGTCAATATTAAAGTAGTCTTTGGTCAACGACAAACAAACTCGAATAACGATGGATGTCAAAGTTGCGTCAAAGTCGTTGCTATATCTCTATATCTCGTCAAAAAATCCACTGTCTTTTTTTATACTTCATACCAAACTTTTTTTTCATCCAAGTTCACTAAATCCATCTGATCTATAATGAATCTGTACTGCTATTATCATTTCTGTAGTAAAAATATCCCATTTTTATTTGAAGGCGTGATGTTATGTTATCAAAAAGTTTCAAACTACACAATTATATAGTTTGGTTTAAAAAAATATCCCCATTCACTGATCCACCCACTGTCCACCGACTACCATAGATGTATAATAGGGGTACCTATCCTTCCCGTTCCCCGCCCCTTCTAGTTCTAGGTAGTAGGTGGTTGTCAATTTATCATAATCTATGGTACGTCACGTCATCTCGCGATTATGTCGTATTAATGTTATTCTATTCTAATTAGTTAAATAATTTAAATACCTCCAGTATAAAGAATTTATATTAATTTGTGTCGAGCGCATGTTTGCGTATTAAAGTGTTAGAAGTGAAGTGAATTTTAAATAAGCAATCGAATAAAAAACGTCTACAAAAATGTCTCGTCCAGGCCCTACTTACGTGAACCCTAACAAATTGTTCGAGGATGACGATGTTGACGATGACACATTCGTTAACAGTTTTAGATCAAGAATTCCACCTCCACAACAAAGTAGACCAGCACCTTCTGCATACGGAAGTCAAATTTCAGCTTTAGAACAACAAAGACAAGCTATGTTACAAAGACAAAGAGAAATCGAACAACGAACATTGGATTCATCCTCGCGCAGCATAGGCCTGTTGCGCGAGTCCGAACAAATTGGAATCGCTACCGCTGAAGAACTCAGCCGCCAGCGAGAGCAACTACAAAATACGAACAGCCGTCTCGACGAAATTAATACAAATTTAAACCACAGTCAAAAGCATCTAAATGGTATTAAATCAGTTTTCCACAGTTTCAGGAATTACTTATCTGGTAAACCGGATCAAACACCTAGGCCTTCCCCAAGCACTAGGAATGCAGGACCTAGCAGCAAACTGAATGATACAATAGATAATCTGACGACACAAGCCACTGGTGATGACCACTTCCGATCACATCCGGCCACAAGGTTGCGTGAATTAGATGGCAGTGCTCAGATGAGTGCGCCTATAAGTGACAGCCAGCGTTTCAACCAGGTTCTGGATGCTAACCTAGATGAAATGGTACACACCATATCCAGACTTAAAGGCCTTGGAATTGCTCTTGGTGAAGAAATTGAACAGCAAAATGACCTCATAGACACAATCCAAGATAAAGTTGAAGATGCTGATATTAAGATGAGCAAGCAAAACAAACTGATGAATAAAATACTTGGTAAATAATAGTCCACATTCCTTTTTTTGTTAATATTGAACTAAATGCACCAACTGAAAATTTCAGTCGAAGTTATCTCATGGAGGGATGCTCAAGTGCAATATTGAATAGTATTAGCATAGCCCCATATTTGTATAAAGTATGAACTGATCTTTGGAAATGTATTGCATATTATACATTTGTCTATAAGTATAACATTTCCAATTGGAAACACTAGCTCATAATAATAATATGTAAACACAATTATTTATGAAGTGTTGGTATATTATAGTGCTAATGTATTCTTATAAACAAACATGTGCATAAAATTTTGCAGTTGCCTAGTTATTATTAACAATAAGAGAATAGAAAACAAATCATTTAGATTTTATCCTGTTATATTTTATGCAATAAATAGGCACTTGGTTACTGTTAGTTAAATGACTGGGAAAATATATCTGCACTGCAAATAGTTTTATAGTTTGATATGTTTAAGTAGTCAATTATTGGAATGTAGTTTTTCACATTTCTGATAACAATAACCACATCTATAGACTTGACTGCAAAATTTAAATAGGATTTTGTACTTCCTGATATACCCATTAAAATTAATTTGCAAAGTGTTATTTTGTTGTAAGCAATAATTATTCTATTATAATGTACATACTTTTATAGAATTTATTACTGTTGTGCTATGATTGTGTTTATTTTTGTGATGTGAATTTAGAATCTTTATCAAGAGACTTCTCATTTATTTTTAACAATTACTGTAATCAGCCTGATTCACCATTGAGCCTTATCTGCCAATTAATTCATACATTTTTATCAAAAACCTAGAGAGCATGTATAACTCACATTCATTATCCACAAAAATATTTGCATGCATGAAATGTTGCTCTGTGTACAGAGTAGGTATGTGGAAATAAAGAGTTTCTATCAAAACTATGTTATTTTATTTATAGTATGAACACAATCACAAGGTCACACTCACTACATACAAATTCTTCAACATACCCATTATTAATTCTACAGGCAAGATGTCAAATGAAATTGTCTTTATTTAGCAGACAAAGAGTTCAGTTGTAAACAAAATAGATGACAAATACCGCAATTAATTTGACCTATGTATGCACTACATACTTAAAGTACATTACCTTGACAAGAGAAGATAAACACTATTTCAATGAAAACAACTAATTTTGCTCATTGTATTTATTAAAGAAATAATGGAAGGACAGCAACTATGTAGGGAAATATAATGCTGCTGGTATATAATGTATAACAATGAAATCATATTAATATGCTTGATCTACAGTCTCCAAAATCATATCATTGGCATCAACATCATGAGTTTTCATGTGCTTTTGTAATACTCTCTTGTTTTTCAATTTCTTGCCACAAATGTTACATGGCAACTCTTTGTACTCATGGCATTCTAAATGTATTTTCAAACCAGTGGCTGTAGCAAAACCTTTGAAGCAAAAATCACATTTATGGGGTCTCTCTTTGGTATGAGTGTGTGCAGTATGTACCGTTAAGGAATATTTGGATGGGAAGCTTCTTTCACACCCTTTGTAGGTACATACAAAGGGGCGGGGCTTACCCACACCGGTGTGAACCAAGCTATGGGCTTTCAAATAAGCTGCTCTTGTGTATGTCTTAGGACAATGTGGACATGCATATTTCTCTCCATTGTGGGTCTTAACATGCATGTTTAAAGTTGATCTAGCAGTAAATCTCTTCCCACAGGTCACGCATACATACAACTTGCGGTTGCTGGAATGTGCTACTCGGAAATGTTCCTTCAATGATTGCCTGGACTTGTAGGTCTTATGGCAGAAACCACATTTAAACTGTGCAATATCTCTATGTGACTTTAAATGCTGTCTTAGTCCACCAGATGTGTGGAAGCTTTTTCCACATTTAGCACAGAGATAATTTCTCATGGTATCACTATGCCTCGCCATGTGATACTGCAAACCATATAAGCGAGTAAAAGACTTGTTACATATAGTGCAGCTGTAACGCTTCTCTCCTTCCATTCGAGGGGGCTGCTCTGCAGATGTTATTTCAGTAACTGGTGGTAAAGGTGTCAATTTGTTATCAGTTAATGTGGTATCAAAGTCTAATGTAGGGTGGTTGCTGAACAGTGGAACATCATATTCATGGTCCTGATAAACAACATTTATGTCAATTGAATCTATCTCAGTCCTTTGCAAATGAGTAGGAGATTGAATCATAAGTATTTGCGATAAAGTAGAATTTGCTTTTAAACAGTTCAACTTAAAATCGTATGCAACTAAAGCTGTAGATACACATGAAGAACATATCCCTTGCGGCCAGTTTTCTTCGTCATTATTCTCCAAACAGTTAAGAAAGACCAAAATATCAATTAATTTGACTTTAATCATCTCGTGTTCAATCAAGTCTTGTACGTTCATAAACATCGCTGTATCCGATTCCGAGAGACAGGTGCGACAAATGTTTTTTGTTAAAGGCAAAATTAAACCGGTGAACTCCATTTTTAATCTCTAAGATTTCATTTATGAACAGTTTTACTTTCAACGATTTGAAAAACATGACATCACAAGCTCCACATGGATCCACGCTCTCAACCAAGTTTTCGTAAAAAAATATTAACAATTCAGTAATGTCATAGTGACATTAGTGTTTCCAGAATATCTTTTTCGCGTTATTTTATTATATTTGACTCTAGATTCTTTGGACAAACAGACAAAGATTTTGAAGCTTTAAGTTAAAAAGCCTAAAAATTCAAATCAAATCAAAATCAGCTTGGCGCGTATGGTTTCTTATTTTAACCGAAAACCGACCTCATCTACCCCATTGATTTCTTATCTTACTAAAATTCACTAACTAACAAGAACATCTCTAATCTGTATAGTCTATGGGATAGGTCAGTTTTTAAAGTCTTTTTTTAGTCTGTGTCTTTCTTTTGACGTGTGTGGTGCGTCGTGGGCAGACTGGAGATTCTCCAGTTTTATCAATATTATAAAATACTTTCATGATTTGGTCACCAATATCCATTGTTGAGATCAAAGTAATTTATCGTACTTTTTGTAGAAGGTGAGTGAAACATCTTACTGTGGAAATACGTAATGTGAAAGTTCTAACCTCTACCGACCGGACAACACCTTTTGTGAACCATATTTCTTCTAAAATATTAAATATTCTATATATTTAATCGTATATATTCGCGAGTGTGAGTGATTATTAACATGAATTCTCTGTTTTGTAGGTAAATCAGTAGAAAAACGTAAACATGAGTCGTTTCTTTGCGACTGGTACTGACTCAGAGTCTGAAAGCTCGAGCGAGGACGAGCCAGTAGTACGCGCACCCGCACCCGTCTATACGGTGAGTTTATTCTCCATTTTAAAGAACATTTCAATTGTCAGTGCTGAATACCTTCTGATTCGACTTGATTTGTATGAAGAAACAACAACATAGACCTAGATGATTACTGGTAAATACCATACATGGAACAAACATCTTAAATAAATGCTTACATTGCTAACAAATACTATTATGCATGTGCAAACAAGAAATATCTACATTAGGTAATGGCCTGGCCTTAAGCTCGAAAGGTAATAATAAACCAAACCAACAGGTAAACTTATAAGTTTGGTCCAGTAAACTATTAGGTACATTAATTAAGTTACTATTAAACAAAATGCTTAATTACCACTATAATAGGTTACAAAGTAAGCTAAAACTTAACATTGTAAATTGTAGTAGTTAGATTACTTAGTTGTAGTAGTTAATACTCTTCTTTTGAATGAAAGATGCTATTTTATGTTTTATTTTGCTAGCATTTCAATATATTCTGAACTGGCTAAGACCATGACTTAGAAGGGGCTAAATATTAATAAAGAAGACCTATAAGGGTTCCAAAAAAGGTTAATTTTGACAACCAAGGGAAATTTCACAATTGTGTTGAACTTATCATCATTAGTTTTGATGATTCATTAGTTTCTTCATACTTTGGGTGCTTTATACCTATCAAGTATTATGTAAATATCAGCAATCACCTTGTTATGGTGTTAAATGGGTTTGTATTATAATCTTCCAATGGTGTGGTATTTATTTGTTCACCAGATTCAAAGATTTTTATAAGTAACTAGCGACCCGCCCCGGCTTCGCACGGGTGCAATATGTATATACATACAAACCTTCCTTAAGAATCACTCTATCTATTAAAAAAAACCGCATCAAAATCCGTTGCGTAGTTTTAAAGATCTAAGCATACATACGGACATACAGCGAAAGCGACTTTGTTTTATACTATGTATTGATATACTGTTGTTAGTGTTATGGCCCAATAATATAGCAGGTGCTTGAAATAATTATTTCTATCCTCAGTTCAGTGATGATGAGGAGGAAACGAAACGCGTTGTGCGCTCCATGAAGGAGAAGCGATATGAGGAACTGGAGGCGATCATCCATTCCCTGCGTAACCACCGCAAGATCAAGGATTTTTCTTCAGCTCTTGCTTCTTTTGAAGAGCTCCAACGAGCCTACACTCGTGCTGCACCTGTTGTACTAAAAGAAGAAAATGGAGTTGCTCCAAGATTCTTCATTAGAGCACTTGCCGAGTTGGATGACTGGGTGACTGGAGCATGGAATGACCGTGACAGCAGAAAGGCATTGTCTAAAGGCAACAGCAAGGCACTGACATCCTTGAGGCAAAAATTAAGAAAATATGCAAAAGACTTTGATGCTGAGATGTCTAAGTTCCGTGAGGATCCGGATCTTCCGGATGATGATGAAGAACGTAAAGGTATGTAGTGTTTGATTTAAATAATTAATATGAGAAGTTGTTTTTTTCCAATAAAAATATGCAATATTAAAGTATGTACTTTTAATATTTTATAAAGTTGTGTAAATTAATTCTATTATCATTTTGTTATTTAGACACCTCATCCTCCGATGAGTCTGATGACGAGGAAAAGGTAAAGGAGAAACCGCGAGTGCGGTCAGTGCAGCCTGAACCGCCGCGCCGTCCTCCTCCACAAGATGACGAGTCCTCCGACTCCATGGACTGGGGCTCCAGCTCTTCTGATTCGAGCTCCAGCTCTGATGACGAAAACCGTGGAGCCACCACCATCCGAGAACGATTCTTGAAGAGAAACACTGAAAGGGATGAGGATGAAGACAGAGACAGGCGCAAGGCCAAACGTCGTGAGGACCGGCGTGATGCTAGAATTGGTAAAGTTAAGAAAGACCAAGCTGATGATGGAGGCGAATGGGAAACTGTCAGGAAGGGCGCTGCCACCTCGGATAAACCTAAGATGTTTGCCAAGGTAAGAATTTGTGGCGTACTTGTGCTACAATATTAATACGTGATAATGTTGGTTTATAATTACTAATAATTTTTGTTTCTCCTGTAGGACAGTGACATTGATGCAGCTTTGGTAGTAAAGAAACTGGGTGAAATCAGCGCAGCCCGTGGTCGCAAACGTACTGATCGCCGCGCCCAACTAGAGTTGTTGCATGAGTTGCGTACTGTGGCTGCAGCCCACAACCTGGGAGATGCTCTCCAACTCAAGCTGCGCGCCGCCACTGTGGCCGCTCTCTTCGACTACAACCCTAAAGTATCAGATGCCATGAAACCTGAATATTGGTCAAAACTCGTCGAAAATGTAGACCACATGGTCACCCTACTTTTAGCTCACGAAGATATGCAACTGAGTGAAAGTATCACTGAGGAAAATGAATCACTAGTGACTGCACCCTTCCTCGTTCGTGGTTGCCTGTTGACGGCTTTAGAACGACTTGATGACGAGTTCACTAAGTTGCTTAAGGAGTGTGATCCGCATTCTAATGAATATGTTGAAAGATTGAAGGACGAAGTTCGCGTTTCTACACTTATTGACCGCGTGTGCCAAGTGGTCGAACGCGACGGCACTCCTCAAGAAATATGTCGTGCGTATCTCCGTAAAATTGATCACTTGTACTACAAGTTTGATCCTCGCGCAGTGCGCAAGGACCTTCCTCCTGGTGAGGAAACTACCATCAAAAAAATGGAAAAATTCTGCAAATATATTTACGCTCACGACGAGACTGACCGACTTCGAACTCGTGCCATCCTGTCCCACATCTACCACCACGCTCTGCACGATAACTGGTTCCAAGCTCGAGACTTGCTATTAATGTCACATTTGCAAGAGACTGTTCAACATTCAGACCCGAGCACTCAGATTTTGTACAATCGTACTATGGCCAACCTAGGTTTGTGCGCTTTTCGACGAGGCAACGTTAAAGAGGCCCATGGCTGTCTAGCTGAACTGATGATGACTGGCAAACCCAAGGAACTGTTAGCTCAAGGTCTGCTGCCTCAGCGTCAACACGAGCGTTCTAAGGAACAGGAAAAAATAGAGAAGCAACGCCAAATGCCGTTCCACATGCACATCAACTTGGAACTGCTGGAATGTGTGTATTTAGTATCTGCCATGCTAATTGAGATTCCATACATGGCCGCCCATGAGTTCGATGCTCGCAGACGCATGATTAGTAAGACTTTCTACCAGAACTTGCGCGCAAGTGAGCGTCAAGCTTTGGTAGGCCCGCCCGAGTCCATGCGTGAGCATGCTGTGGCTGCCGCCAGAGCGATGCGCCGCGGAGACTGGCGTGCTTGTCTGAATTTTATTGTAAATGAGAAAATGAACGCAAAGGTGTGTATTACCATATTTTTATTTTTTTTAATGGAACCTTGTTTATTACCATTTTCGACTGATGGATATAATAAAAATTACTTTTAATGTCTATAGGTTTGGGACCTGATGGTTGGTGCTGACAATGTCCGTGCTATGCTTGGTCGTCTGATCCGCGAGGAGTCGCTCCGCACTTACTTGTTCACTTACGCCCACGTCTACGCTTCACTCTCGTTGCGTTCCCTGGCGGATATGTTTGAGCTGCCGCGCCAGCGCGTGCACTCTCTCGTCTCCAAGATGATCATCAATGAAGAGCTGCTGGCATCACTTGACGACCCCAGCGAGTGTGCTATCTTACATCGTTCAGAGCCAACTAGAATGCAGGCTTTGGCATTGCAGCTAGCTGACAAGGTAAATTTTAGATGCATAGATGCACACAAGTAGTTTACATCATCATTCTTGCCATTCTTCATATTCAGGCTTCCTATCAATATATTATGATATGTTTTATTGCACTCTGAGTGAATTCACTAAAGTGGCACTTCGTAGCATTTGTTATGGTTAGTTAGTTAAAAATTTTGTTTGTAATTTAGATATAAGAGGCCTCAATATCGATTTGGATAAGTCTGTAAGGATATCGCTGGGAATAAAGTAAAATAAATAAAATTAAAACTGGCTATTATATTATACCAAGCAGGAACTAAAATGTTATTACGATCTGTAAAAATTATATATAAATATTGATTTTGAATATTCACAGGTTGGCAATCTAGTGGATTCGAACGAGCGTATCTTCGAGAAACAAGGCTCGTTCTTCCAGCGCGGCGGCGCGGGCGGGCGCGGCGAGGGGCGCCAGCGCGAGCGGCCGCGTGAGGGTTGGAACCGGCGCACGCGCAACCGACGCCGTGACGACGAACGTGGGGACGACTAGCATTACTATAGGGATTTAAAGAAGATCAGTCGATTTGTCTTATAAATACAATACAGTGGTACATTCAAGTATCTTGTACAGGACTGTAAGTCTATAAAAATTAAATCTTGCGGAAATATCTGAAGAGATTGATGGTACGCTGTAGCTTCTGCTAGTGAATCGTTTTCAACATCTGTCTGTCTTTGTTTTCTTTTCTATTAATAAAAAATCAATGTTTAGGTGTTTCATGTCTTAATATACCATAATATTTAAAATTGTCAATTGATATTCTCAGATATGTCCGCATAGTTATAGACAAGTTGAAATAAACAAACTCCACTGGTTTTCATTATAATCTGTCACAACAATCTAATTGCAACTTCATTTGTATGCGGTTTTTATAAGTTTATAGTATTTGGAACAACATTTAGTTCTGTCCAATATTTTATAGGAGGTTATTAATATTTTAAACTATGTAAGTGGAGAGAAAAGGTTAGCTTTCATTTTTATGTTGATGACTATTTTATGAATATAATGTAAAACCTATTTCCTTAGAACAGCAGTAACAGAATATAAAAGAAATCGTTAAAACTTATGAAACTTATAAATACTTATAATATCTGAAAATTACTATCTCCAGTTGCATTGTTACATTTTTGTATAGTCTCCTCACAATCCGGTCGTTATAATAAAAAGAGTATATCTCTACATCTATTGTTTTTTATTTCTACATTTTATACCCAAATCTTCTTGTTGTAAACAAATATTAAATATACCTATTTTTAACCGACTTCGAACTTGACGGCGACGGTGAAGAACAATTTATTTTGTACCAACGTGGACAAACCTCTATGGGACAGACATACATACACGTCAAACCATGGAATAGTAAAAACTAGGTGGAAAACCTCCCTTTTTTAAGTCAGTTTAAAATAATTAAAACGAATCTTTAGAAAATGTTTAATACCCGATGGGTGTAATAGAGAGAGAAGGTAAAAAACTATATAGTGTGAAAAATCAAATTGATTTTTGTTTTTGCTTTCAGTAAACAGAAATCGTAGGTGCCACAGATGTAGATATAAATTAATACATCTGTGGTAGATAGGTATATAAGACGTGTGGTAGCCAGGGTAGCCATGTGTGGTAGGTAATAATTTCCCATAAACTTATTATACTATTTGGTAATCATGGCAGAATCGACGTCAGGAACTTACGATAGCGTACATAAATGTATTAATGTGGCAATCTAAAACAATAATTTAGTCATCTGGCAATGTTACTCTTGCTGATTTTTTTTCTTTTATGATATAAAACGTTTTGTTATTGTTTCATGATCTATTATTTTATTATTATTTTTGTCTTATTTTTCAATTTCATATCAATACTTATGTTAAATGATCTTTACAAATAAACCTAAAATAAAAACATTTTACAATAAATCTCTTCAATATTTTTTTTACGCTAATAACTATTGGTAACTTTAAATATGACAAAATGACATGTCAAATAGCTGAGTGAGACAACATAACGTAGGTGATAGTGAAATTTTGTTGGTGTTCGTCGCATTTTGCAGTTAGTATTTCAGCATTTTGTGAAAAATCCTATTATAATCTGGTTGTACCCAATAATTATGGTGTTTATGTGGAACTGTATATAGAATAATACTTGAGTTTTTCAAGAAACACTGTATAAAATCTTAGGTTGGGAGTTTGACAGTTACTAATACAATGGCTGCAACGAGGAGACTACAAAAGGTGAGACATCATTTTTTTATTAGATCATATCTTCATTTTACATTCTTAATATACATTTTATTCGAACGGAGTCATCTTTAAATACATGTAACGTTACTCAATAATACATGAAATTGTTGCAATGACGGCAAATTCATTGCAAGAAACATTAAAACCTATTTATTTATTGATACATGTTAGAACAGTGACCTAGTAATATTATATTAAAAATATGAAGCTGTAGAAGCTACAGACAACTGGGTTATATTTTATACAATAATTAAAAGCCGGTTTTCTATTGGTGTAGGTAGAACCCTGAATCTTTATATAAACATTCTGATTATTTATAGAACTAGGCGTTTTTTACATAAAAAAACTACATCTATTAAGCATAATTAACATATTTATAATTGAGACTGTTCAAACATTTTACTAATAATTGTTTCTAAACTTTCCCAGGAATTAAATGATATCAGGCAATCAGGCTTGAAGTCCTTCAGGGACATACAAGTAGATGAATCTAATATACTGACATGGCAAGGATTAATTGTACCTGTAAGTATACCTGTCAAAATCATTTACCATCACATTCTGAAAGTTATGAATAGAATGCAAATTCTATCAGTCACAAGATGACATGATGCTAAATATAGGTCTTCTACAATGACTTCCAGGTAGACCTATTCAAAGTGACCTGCATAGACATTACAGTAGTTAAAGTTTTGATTGAAATTACAGTACACATTCACCTTTCTTATTATCTTTGCGTCTGTAAATACCAAAAGTCAAATCTTTTCTTACTAGCAGCAACTGATTTATGGTTTCTTATCATAAAGATACATAAATAAAACAAACCATAGTCTAAGCATTACCACAGGCGAAAACCTAAATTGATTGATATAAAATATACAAAATAATAGTAATAACCTTACCTTGGTATTCCTATGTATGTTGTATTTGGTACCCACACAATCTTATTAGTATCAGTTTGATAGTGTTTAGTTAATTATAGGTATTTGTTTTACATTCATCCATATTATCAGTTTGGTTATATCATAATGCAGAAACAAAATAGTATGACTACGCTTTTAATGCCTATATTCTGAATTTACAGGACAATCCTCCTTACAACAAGGGTGCTTTCCGCATTGAGATTAATTTCCCTGCAGAGTATCCATTCAAACCTCCTAAGATAAGTTTTAAAACCAAGATTTATCATCCAAATATTGATGAGAAAGGTCAAGTCTGTCTGCCAATCATAAGTGCTGAGAACTGGAAGCCTGCTACTAAGACTGACCAAGGTATGCACCCGTTTTTTTATTTTGATTAATAAAATTTGAAGAGACACATTCTTATTTACTTATTTTTTTGTAAATAATTTCAGTTATTCAAGCCCTAGTGGCCCTTGTCAATGACCCTGAACCAGAGCACCCACTGCGTGCAGAACTTGCTGAAGAATTCCTAAAGGACAGAAAGAAGTTCACAAAAAATGCAGAGGAATTCACTAAAAAACATAGTGAAAAGCGGCCCACAGACTAAAATAGTTAATTGAATCATTACTGTTTAGCTTGAATTTGCAGTAGTGGCGCCAATCTGCCGATTTTGTAGCAATGTGTGAATAAGTTATTTAAGAATGCATTTATTTTCCCAAGACAGTATTTATAAGATCTTTTACACCGGTAGAAGGTGGACTGTGTTATCCTTTGAGATCACATCCACTGCTGTAGATTCAAACTAATATTGCATTTGATTTTACACTGGTACTAGCTTTTGAATCACCTTGCTTGCAATACATACATAAGCACTATAACGATTTAGATTATTATTAAATAAATAGAAATCGGAAATGTTAAATGCGTATGTGCATTAGAATGAGTAATATTTTATATTTTAAATAAATAAATAGCAATATTCCCAGAAATTATAGTCTTGCAAAGGAATTTATTACCTATCTGCTTATGTTGTTCCTGAAGACAGGTAGCTTTTATCTATGTAATGTTGTATGTAAACTATTGCTATGTAAATAAATGAAGAACCTGTGTTAACTGACCCCACGCCACAAGTTAACTTTTTGTTTTTGAACAAATTTTCTATAAATTCAGACCTTAGTGTGTGCTTTTTTTATTTAAACACTGTCAATGTAGCTATGTGTTGTGTAAAAAATTATTCATCAGATTCAGAACTAATATAATTCATCCAACTATTGACTGGTTACTGGGTTGCACTACACATAAGAAACCTATGTACACAAGACTACTGGTCTAGCTACATCTACATCTCAATGTTACTTGGTAACTTCTGTGCTGAACAGTTCAGTGCAAACTTTAAAAATATATTTTTTTCGAATTATTATATTGTTTCATTTTTACATTGCCAACTTGAGAGCCATGTTAAATTACTACAAAACAAGTAAAATAATAAAATCGGCACTTTATTTGATATTTAAAGAAATGTATTGATGTGGTGATTTTTAAATTTGAAGTTGTAGATTGTGCTTCGTAACATTAATGTTCATATTTATTTTGCCAAATATTTAATTAGATTTGCTGTAAATAGAAATAAAATTGGAATATAATAATTGTCATTTCAAACATGAATATAAAAAAAGTTGTACATGAATATAAATCTCACCATGTATTTTTTCAATACACTCATCTATATAAGAACTTTTGTTGGCATCTTTAACTAGGGTAGCAACCATAGGTAGGGTATAATCGGGACCATACTCTGGCCAATGACTATGGTCTGGTATCAACTCATCTAAGTTTACTTCAGCAACTAAAGCAGTAAGGGATGTCCACAAACGTGCTGTGTTGTCATGCCTGTATCCGCCTGAAAATGGAAAAGGACATAAATAACTAGTATTCTAATTCAATAATTCTCCTTGAAATTAATCAATTAATATGTACCTCCCCCTAACAATAGAGTGGGTTTTCGTTTGTCAAGAACTTTGCGTATACAATTACTGTAACCCTCATGTGTTAGGTTTGCACCACCACTAGGGTCCTGCGCACACGAATCAGCGCCGCACTGAACCACAATGACGTCAGGAATAAAGTGAGTATAAACAGAGCTGAACACCCTGAAAAATTCAACTTTAAATTAGAAATAAAGGATTTATAATAATTTTAGTATGAAAACTATCGTTAACATCACTCTGACCTCTCAAATGCATACTCCAGAGTATTATTACCATAACCTGCATGTAGAGGAAAGTTGCAGCAGTAGCCCATCCCTCCCTGAGTCCCAATATCATCTATACTTCCCGTGCCAGGGTAAAAACCTGGTTCAAACTTGTGAAAAGATAGAGTAAACACTGATTTACTCAAATTATAAGCATCTTGTACTCCATTGCCTAAAATAAAAGAGAAAAAATGTTGCTATATGTACATATTGATAAAAAGCTCAAAATACTAAGTTAAAAAAAGATACCATGATGTGCATCCAGATCAACATATAATACTTTAGGGAACTTCCTCCTTAACTTTTCAATAGCTATCACTATGTCATTTACATAACAGAATCCTTCCGCACCAAACCTAAAAAAAGCATATTTTACAAAATGTTATATTTTTGTTGCTATCAATTTTGTTTCTGTAATGTCTAGAAGGTAATTACACAAAGTACCTATGTGCATGGTGCCAGCCTCCGCACCAGTTTATGGCAACATCAGTAATGCCCAGCAGCAAGCACCTGGCTGCAGTAATGGAACCACCTGCTATGGTCGACACCAATCCATACATGTTGGACACAGGAGGACAGTCATAGCCTGGGAGAATTTTCTTTGGTATGGATGTTAGCATATAAAACAATTACTATTGGTCTATATAGAATAGGTCTAGGTAGTAAATTAAGTTTCAGTTAACTCGTCGAGTACCGGTTTTGCAGACACAATTATAGAACAATAGGTTGCGGTCACCAGTGACCGCTTGGTGTTTGACAGTTTAAAATGTATTTGCTTCCAGGATCAGGATTTTTAGAACATTTTATAGTAAGTATTTTAAAGCAAGAGATTTAATTACATGCAAATACTATTACTTACTTTATCAAGAAACATTTTTTAATATATCCAAACTATCAAACCATACCAATGCCACATTCCTCATCCTCCGTAGTCGTCATGTAATCATCCTGAACGTCGGTAAACTTCTTCAAATGGTCCAGATACAATTCTGAATGGAACTCTTTCAAATCATTGTATGTCGCTGGGGACGATTTCACAACAGTTATATGCTTCAAGACATCGTAGGCCACTATTAAGTCATGGACCATACTAGCCTGAAACAAATTAAATTTTATATGTTATATAATTCGATTAGGGAACAAAATTTGTAAATAAATGGTAGAACTTGTTTTTTTAGTACCCTTCCGCCTACGGCCGGGAGCCGATCACATTCTTCTATTAATTGTTTGTCCCAAATATAACAAGGCTTTTTTTTATTCATGGCTTCAAATAATCTTTTAAAGGATAGGTAATGAAAATTTTCAAAATTGTGTTTATGGAACTTGTTGATAAACTACTCTTCCTTCCTTCCGGCATTGCATTATTTGGCGCGCAGCGCATCGAAGATTTTTTATTTTTGTTGACATTGACACCAAGTACTGTCAAAGTGTTACTCGGTACTCCACAGATTACTATATACTAGTCAGAGAGTGTTACTCAGATATAGTATTGTAGTCTTTGGTGTTACTGAACTTGATACTTGATATTGATAGATAGTGTTGTAGTTTGTCTATATGACGACGAATGTTTAAATATCTAACACACTAACAACATAAAAACTATGGCAACACTCTTTATAATTAAATTTCTCTTTATATTTAGTTGAATCAGCCAGATAATAAGTTATACACGCAAAAGGGCAATTCATAGCGGAGCTGGATAATTTTTTCTTAAGTATATGCTTTCACTCGAACAGTGGCTAGGACGGGTAGGAACCAGAAGTGAAAAACACGATTGTATGTTTAAAATAAGGATTGTTTACATTGCACATTTATTTATAGGTTAGTTTTGGGTTTTTTTTTGGGTTGGTACTTCCGACCTGTGGCGCCCTCATTGATTTTCAATAATAAATAGACAAACTGTAGATAATCTTTATGAAATAAACGATCTGAAATAAACAGCTGCAAAATATAAAAAACATTGAATAGGTCACAAAATATAACCTTTGAAAGAAAAATTAAAATTAATTAGTAACAATCATGAACGCGTTGTTAAATCTACTAGTAACACTTAAACAAAAAATTTGAACGCGTCATACTCGAACATAGACTAATGATGCCTTTCAAAATTGAAATGATAAAATGTAGTAGTTTATGGATAAACTTTTTAATTTCATTGGCTCAAAAATTTTTGTATGACCAATCAGAAGAAAGCTGTCTAGGAAAAACAAGCGTCCATTTTCTACAGAAATCATACACTCTGTCTTGACATTTTGACATTATCAAAGAAATTACATGAATTACTCATATTTTTTACTGAAATATATGTTGAAGTGGTTTAAATTTGACCGTTTATAGTTAAGGTAATCTAAAAAACTGCAATAAAATGAAAAATACGTGACATCAAATGTATAAATCACATGATAAGTTCTTGCAATCCTAATATGACAAGGTCTGTTACAAAATATTGGTAACTCGAGCCAGTCTGGTTTTGTTTTTGTCTAGTTTAACCACTTCTTCGATGGTGTTTAGTGATTTTATAACATCGATTATCAAGTTCAAGTGGAGATGGTTCGAGGTTAGTATATAATATTTACATAACTATACATAAAATTGTGATGATGTCCATGTTATGTTCTAGACATCCTTTGTTCGCGGTACCCGCTTCTGTATTTCTATGTTTTAATGCATGCGTTTACAGTCACATTTCTTCACGAAATATGGTTCGCATCAGTGTGCCTTACTTATTAACAGCGTTCATTTTTATAAATGTTATCTCATGTGCGTTCTATATGAATTTCACTATTAGTAAATTCTGGATGCTAAAATATTTCAGAAGAAAATGCTGTAATCTAACCTATCTACTTCATTATTATAATACATAATATTCATTTCAATTACAAACAAATTTAATATTATGTAGTGATAAATAATTGCTTTTTATGTATTTTTCTTATCATCTGTTATTTTACTGTAAAAATATTATTGTAAAATAAATATTCTGTTCTAAATTTAATATCTGTAAAATAGGCCATGTGATAAGGTCTCTTATATTGTCAAAGTACCAGCCACAAAATTTGTAATGTTAACTCAGTCAATTTTCCAAAATGTTTTAGTTCCATAGTACTCCAATCTTTTTTCTATTTTTTTTTCTCACCCTGAAATTCCTTGATGAGTTGGCAAAAGTTGGTGTAGATAAGAGAGGATTCTTAGGATTAGACGGAGAGGTTCTTATAGTTTTTACATCATTGGGTTTGTTTCATTACTTATATTTTCACTTCTCATGTATCTGAGAACCTTGGACAGAATTTACAAAATTTATCCATAAATTATTAAACTTTATTAGCATTGTCGTGATTCCCATTGGACTTTGTACCTCTTACATGCATTTTATCACAGTGACGTCACTTAATTTTTTTTACCCTAAAGAATATTCATATGCCGTCCCTGGTATAGTGCTTATATCTCTTTGACATTAATTGGTTATATAGGTATTTAAGTATATTTCTTTATTTTATAAATTGTAATATAGAGAAAAAAAATTAAAATATTTATAGCCACAAAGCAGCTTCATTCTTGACTAGTTATTAACTTATTATTGTAAACCAATATTATACATACAGATAAACTTTAAAACAATTCTTTTTATTATAAATATGATAATCATAATAATTATTAATTATAAAACAAATAATAATTATAGAGAATTCATAATTTAATTAATATTGCAATTAAAAATTGAATAAATATACAGACTATATTTATTTCTATAGTGGCCATGTTCCACTGTATGTTTTTGTCTTTGCTCCTGCTTCCTGTGTATATTTTTATGGATCTTCTAATTGCTTTGCATGCATTTGGTTGTAAAAGTAGTAGAAACAATATTCTTAAAAACACAAAGTATACTTTGATATTCTAATCCAAATATTATACAAAGCAGTAGGGAAAGTGCAATCATTCCTTTTAGTGATGATTATAAGTGTTGTATAATATAGTTGTTGGTATGGTTTCCAGCCAATAGCTTGATGGCAGCCCAGGAGGGTGTGAAGACCCCCCACCGCATTGAACTATGCGAGGAGAAGCCTGTCAGACCTACGCGCAACTATAGAAAGCGCAGGTAACTGAGGCATTGTTTCTATTAAATATTCTATACTTCTCCATTCACTATATCATATACCCTGTCAATATTTCATCTAGCTATGAAATCATGAACACTAAATATAAGTAACAGGGTTTTTCATACAATTGCACCATATTGAACACATTTACTGTAAGTAAGAACTTGCAAAGCACTCATTTTGTAACTTCATATGTCATACTAAGTAACTGTAAGAAGCTTTGGGAGCTTAAGTTATTTCTGGTTGTGGTTATAATGTATACTGAATAGTTAACTGAAATAAGTCAGAGGTACAAATATGTCACATATTTAACTAATATTGTTTCTCTTAGGATAATATCTGCAGTACAGCCAAAGACTGAGAATGCAGTAAGTTCAGAACCTCCATTGAAGAAAGCCGAATTAAAGTCTAAGCCACTGAAGACTAGCAACGGTATTACAAACATGACGAACGGGCACACGTTGAGGTCGAGAGCGGCGCGCGCAGCCGCCCGAGCTGCCGAGAGTCATAAACTTACTGAATACTTCAAGGAAGAGCTGAAAAGTCCTAAAGTCGAACCTCCACCGTCGCCGCCACCGATTGAGAAAACCATAACTAAATTGGAAAAAGTTGTGAATGGTGATTCCAACCATAAGTTAACAGAATACTTCCCAGTTAGACGAAGTGTAAGGAAAACATCGAAATGTGTCATGGCAGAGAAGATGCGGGACTTGGAGCGGGCTGTGAGAGAACAGAGGGAGGATGGACTGCAAGTAAGTTATATTTGACTGCACGGTTGGTGCGGTGGTTGGGCAACCGGCTGCCGTGCAACGTGTCGCGGTCTCGATTCCCGCACGGAACAACACTTTGTGTGATCCACAAATTCTTGTTTTGGGTCTGGGTGTCATTGTGTATGTGAACTTCTATGTTTGTAAACGCACCCACGACACAGGAGAAAATCCTAATGTGGGGCAACGTTTTTTTTTTTAAAAAAAAAGAAAAATAATTTATAAAACATTATGCTTATCCATTCGAAGAAGCAACGGTTGATTCTTTGGAAGAGAGCTTCGCTTAATATTTTAACTAACGACAGGTAGAGAGAGGAAAAGACGTGAATTACTGAAAGCAGCCCGTTCGTTTCTTCAAATCTTCTATTTGAGGCATCATCTATGTTGTGTTGACAATACTCTCTTATCCGTCATGCGATATTACGTCGTATATTAATTATGTGCATTAGAATTAAAATTAAAATATGAATCATAATCTACGTAATCAGCCAAAGCTAACACGTCACAAGTGTCTAAATTTTCCTTCTTATTAGTCAAGTAAAGTGTAGTCTGTCTTCTAATTTCAATTTGCCATTTACATGATGTGAATTACGTACACCTACCTATATGCATACATGGACTTAGAAAAAGAAATAATAAATATCTACGCAATGATATTAATTATCGTCAATTTCCTATAATGTTGACGTGTAAAAGTGTTAAACCTAAAAATGATAAACAGTTCATGAGAAAGACTATAATCGTTCGAGCAATTATTTTAACGAATATATCGATCTATTACATTTGCCCATTAGTTACCGCTCATTACTTCGACGAATCTTCGTTTAAACTGTAACCATTATCTAATTGATGCTGCAATCACTGCAATATATGGTTTTTCAGTTGAAGCAATACATGATGAGAAATAAACAAAAAATCGCAGTAAATCTATTAAGTATTATTAGAAACAATACCATTTTTAAACAGAGGATGAGTACTACGAAATACGTGACGTGGGCTTATTTTTGAAAATGACTACAAAGCATGTATATGAAACGCCCAATTATATTTCAAAGTAAAATAATACCCATTATGTTAAAACACAAATGGCTATTGAACAATATTTTCTTTACTTCCGCATCAGCGTCTATTTATGTTTCAATCTATTTACATTAGATGACCTAGTCTCACTAGGTCTGGCGGTACTCAGCAATATCACTAACTTCCTTCCCGAACACTAGGTTACAAAATAGATAGATAAGCTTTAGTTATCAGTGCAACGGCAAGGCCGACCGTTAAAACTATCTACCGAGTAATAAGTTATTGTTTACAGATTAATCTTACTAGAATATTCTATTAATGTTACACAAGATTAGTTTCGTAATCAATACAGTATTATATAATTGAATGTAATAAATTACATTAGGTAGGTACCTGTTTCTAAAATACTGCATCGAGCATAAGAGTGAATTTTTTTTAGCTTTCGTAATACTGTCTAAGTTTTCTGGTTGGCTGGTGACCCCTGTACTCAACTTATGTTGATTCGGGTCATCGTCGGTCATGCCTACTGTATGTTATAAAAAATATGGCAATGTAATACTAGTTGATTGTATTTCACCATATTACCTCCTCATAGAGTCAATTCATACTTAAGCATAGTCAATGCGGATCAATACGTTAATCTGAAAAGCGAATATAGCAAATTCTTTTAATAATATATATTTTTTAATTATAACAAAATTAAATTATATACAAATACTAGCTGACCCTCGCCCAGTTCGTTGGGCAGTAAATAGCTCAAGTCACTGTCCTGTCATTAGTAAATATGGATAACTTCAAAACCAAACATCCAATTTTAATCATTCAAAGACCAAATATTATCTACATAAACCTACTTAGTGATGAAATAATTTATTTTGATAGGATTAATAGCATGAGTAAAATAAATGCGATTAATTTTACTCTAAACACATTCAAGATGTTTTAATGAAAACATGGTTGTCATGTCTCACTGTCACTATTTTTAAGATCTACAATTAATTAAAACATTTGATGGTTCTATCTTTTATAATTTAGGTAGCGTACGCAAAATAAATAATTGTTTAACACCTTGTGTCCGAAAAACCCAAATATTTTACGGAAACTGTTTTTTAAAATAAAATTTAGCCTATATAATATGTTACTCGAGGATAAATTAGCTTGAATGGTGAAAGATTTTTTAAAAACGGTCCAGTAATTTTTGCACCTATTTATTACAACCAAACAAAGTTATCATCTTTATAATATTAGTAATTAGTATAGATAAATTAAATTACTTATATTAAATTTTGTTCGTACATAATATGAAATATCGTATCTTTCGTTTCGTACGTACGTAATATATGTTCTTTCTGAGATAAGAACAAGACGCTTGAATTCGCACCTCAGACCGCAATCAAAGTATGTCCTGAGTCCTGAGGGTCCTAATATCAATACAATTCCTTTTATTTCACAGGTGGCATATTTCGATGGCAAGGGGCGCGGTGTAATAGCGACCCGTCCGTTCGGTCGCGGACAATTTGTGGTGGAGTACGCTGGAGAACTGGTGGGCGTGGCGGAGGCGAGGGAGAGGGAGCACAAGTACGCACAGGACCCCGAGGCCGGCTGCTACATGTACTACTTCAGACACGGAGACCAACAGTATTGGTGAGTACTCAATACAAATGTGTACTAAGTAAGATCAAGTCAGTATTCATGTAAAATCATTGGGCTGTTCCATTCGAGCACCTTCAGGCGAGTGAGCATGTCATTTTGCAAAGTCTCATAATATATAGTCTCATATATGTACATTGTACACACAATGCATTAGGTTCATTACTAAGTTCCATCTAAAGTTAACCAATCTGCATAATTTCATTTTTTGACATAATACGGAAACCTATCTGATAGTTTATTCGAGCAATGAACTCGTTTCCATATCCTTTTAAAATCGCTTATGTCATTTAGTATCCTTATAAATAAATTTTCCTGCAGTGAGCTTTCTCACTATATTTCTTCGATATTCTTTATTTCAAACATAAAGTTATTGTTTGAAATCTCAGAGAAGTCAAAATATTAAAGCACATAATTTTATACTATCATAATTACACAATGAATTATTGTACTTTAGCTTATATTTAAACATGCACTGTAAACAGTCCAGTTGAAGTGCTATTTGTCTTATGCAAAGTTATGCTATAAATTACGTTCGAAGTCATAATGACTGAAAAGGAGTAACGTCTATTTAATTTGATAAATTAATAATGGGTTAGTAAACTCGAGCCAGTCGAATACTTATTTCTAAATAACATGTTTGTTTGTAGTATCGACGCGACAGCAGAGTCAGGTCGGCTAGGTCGGCTGGTAAATCACTCGCGCAATGGTAACCTGTCGACCAAGGCGGTGTGGGTAGATGGGCCGCGACTGGTGTTGCTAGCGGCGCAGGACATCGCGCCCGGCGAGGAGCTCACCTACGACTACGGAGACCGCTCCAAAGAGTCACTACAGCATCATCCTTGGCTCGCACTCTGACCTGGGTGAGCCATACACACTAATAATAATTACTAAGAAGTTTGTTGACCGGATGTAGAATATATAACTTTAAAAGATTGTGCCGTAACATAGTCATTTCCTCAACAATTTCAATCAAACAAATTAGATTCACATTTGTGTCAATTAGACATCATTAAGTTAAAATTATAAACATAACATAAATGTGTAATTTGAAGAGTTGGAAAATAATATTGAAAAGAAACTACACATATTATTATTTGTTGTAACAAGCTGTTACGATAATTTACTCCCAGTACATAACATGACTTCTGTTACTTGTGTAGAAATCAGCCAGGTTACCATCAGCCATTATAGTGCCAAGAATGCAGAACTTGTCAAATCTGTATATAGCTTTAATACAATTTGAATATAGTCATAGTATATTTATAATTTTTATGTCAAGTAATATTATGATAGCATCAATTTGTGGTGATTTGAACTTGAATTGAATTGTTATGTGAATTGATATATTATGCGTGTTTGTCACCACATGTCTTTGAGGCGAGAAGTTACATGAAAAAAGGGAAACAAGGTACGCCGTTTTAAGGGCTGGCGCTCGGCGGCATGGTTATCTGTTATCACCTACTAAAACATACCTCTTATTGGCACAACAAAATATTGACTATAGTAGGTCACAAATCTAAAATGTTCACAATGGTATAGTTCAGTTTTTCCAACTGGACACCGTATACAGGCGCCGGCTCTTTAAGGAAGATCGAAGTTAACATAACTTTGAAATAACGATATGTTAAACATTCAATACATCTTTTTCAGGTATGGTCGACGAAAATCTCATTGGACTACTAATAATTATTTATTAATTTAGCCTTAGTTACTATGAAGTTTGTTTGTTATAGTTTTATGTTGATTGGACATTGATGTGTTTAGTAGTGAGACAAGTGGCCTAACACTTTGGACGCTATGACGGAGTGGTCGGATCACGATTATTAAACTGCCTTAAACCACTCGTGGTTATGTGACTAAGATATGGAAATAAATAAAGACAACTATGTAAAGAGGTTGCGTCAAAGCAGTTGCAGTTGTCTATGTTCAGTGCTATTGGCATTCGACATATTATGAGAAATATGTACAGGCGACTGAAATTATAAGATGCATTTTTTGCAAATATGACCTCTGAGAATGAGAAAGACAAAAATAAAACCATAAAACAACTGTTTTGACAATCTCTGAGATCCCAGAGCTGTCAGAATTTTTGTAATGAGTAAGGATGTTGAGTTTATTCTGTGTTGTCTTTTTGTAGTATTAAAGCGTGCAACAGTATTTCATGTTTGTTTTGTGATGGGAGTAATCTCAGGCTCATAGACAACTAATGTTTACTGCTTAGTTTTAATTCTCGGGTTTAAAGTGTGGACAGATTTGAGTTCTATAATCAACATCCCCTATATAGAAAATATAAATGTGTAATGGCTTATACGAAGTTATTTGGGGGTTGGGAAACAATGTGGAATTTATGTAAAAAGCTCAGTGGATGTAAAGTTCTGCAAACATCATGTTGGATAGTGCAGAGATTGTAAAAGTTCTGAATGATGTATTATGTGTTGCTATATTAGCGATGCAGTTTACGTCCACTGAGTAAAAATGACACTTTCAACTAGGTATCTTAAAACAGGGATATATTGTTAAACCAAATTGTTCCAAATTTTATACGAGCTATTTTGGGTAGACTAAGTCCATTGTAAGAGATATCAAGTAGATAGTTCAATTGATAGAAGAATGTTGCAGTGTGCCTCAAGTACTGGCTAGTACCAGCCAAGTACTCGGTAAACGGAAGCAACGATTGACACGGCTAAGCACGGTATGATTGTATTTAATCGACGATGTCGAGATGTGACAAGCTCTTAGTAGTTAGGATATGCAAACGCTTTGAGTGCACATTGTGCTCTCAAGATGTCCCTACTTTGCGAGCGATATAACTTGTACGTGTATAAGAGGGTTTACCGTTGTTTGAATATAATTTCAATGTCATTTCTAGGAAACAATGTCAGTTCCTAGTTGTCGATCTCTTCCATGTCGCGTTAATTACTACAATGTTTCTTTAGCATTGATGAATGATGCCTATAAGGTACAAATTGACCAAGACATAATGATGGTTGCAGACTGTTCCAATGTCAGACTTGCTAGCCACGATACAAACTCGGTCACGACACAAACTCGAATAGATTTCGTATTTAAAATTAGTTTTAATTTTTAAGATAAGTGAAATGTTTTCAGAAAGACGGTGAGGTTGTAAGAGTTGCTCATTGTATTAAAGATATTTTTTAAATATCGATTCCTAAATTTGTCCAAAGTCCGAATATGTGCTACCTTTTATTTAATTCCTTCATTTTGAATATAATTCAATATCATTTGGAATTAGTGTCGTATTCATTTATCAAATGATGCTGCGATTGCCCACCGAAGTGAGAAATTAGGCTTCCATCCATTGTTACATCACAGAACACCACTATAGCAATAACACTACTTATAATAGTTGTATAATATTAGGCTCCATTTCACTATTTAATATGGTGATGATTACGAACACTTCAGACATGATAGAGAACAATTATTTTTTAATATTAGATTTTTGCAAAACTGAATCAGTTTCGGTAGTAAGTAATTATATAATAAATACACCAAATAATATACATAATAGAGATAGTTTTATAAAATTATCTCTATTATCGCATTAGACTCGTTGAGTGCAAAAAGAAACCCTTAACATCCATGAATGAAGGAAACTATAATATCAAGTCGCGTATTGAGTACATCAGGTGATACTCTTATCTTAGCTTGTAGTCCAAAATGGTGTGAATAGTTAGCCAAACTATATTGGTGGGCATAAGTAAAGAGTTAGGTAATTAAAATAATAAATTTAAATATTTTACTATGTAGGAATTAAAAATCATAGAGTTTCTTGAATGCGTAATGTCTGCGAGACTTGTGTAGGTGATTATAAGCGTATGTGTGATAGAGAATGTATCCTCGATAGTATGTAAATACGATACAAAAATGGGAGTGTTGATGCAGGGGAACATGCGCCCGACCTCGGTACAAGCGCCTTATCGTCTGACCTGTCAGGAACGCGAGTTTGATACATGTCATGTGAAAAATAATAGGGAATTTATAATACTAAGAAATTTTTATATGTATCGTAGTCTATGTTTGTAAGTTATGCAGCTGGTGGGTAGCAGTGGTCACCAAAAGAGAAATAAAATTATTATTGTTAATGATAATATTATAGACAGGGGTAGCCGGTTGTTGTATCTTTGTAAAATTCAGCTTTGTTTATTAGTTTCTGCCTCTCTGGTTTTAAAATTCAGTGTGTTAATTTATATTAGAACATTATCAAATTAATGTGTAGCAAATGTATATTATGGCTGGCGACCCTTATAAGAATAATGTTATTGTACCGATCGTGCACTTCATTTTTTCTACTTGACTAGGTTAATGTAGCTGGATCGTAAACGTAGTCAGTATATTATATATGATACGCTTGCCGCATTATGATGCCAAATAATAGATCACAAAGTGAAAGAATGAGTGTAGTGGTGCAGTCGACAGACTTCCCCAATCCAGCCACATTACTGTGCTATACGTTAGTGTTGCTTCGTAGTTCCTATTCCCTCTAACTGTTACTGAGTGACTTCCTGACTTACTCTCTATTGTTGTGTATGTCGCTGCTACTTCTTATGATTCTTATATTTCATTATCTAACGTTGACTAGTGACGCCTACGTAAAACTCGTTCATTGCAAACCTCCTTAGATATCTAACTTATTTTTACTAATCATTAATTTGAATATTACTATTGTAGTGCATTTTGTTTCATTCAAATGATGTTTGATGTCGCTATTTTAATCAGTTTTCTCTACAGATTTTTTATGTATTTTGTCTGTTTACATGTTGCGGCAACATAACTGTGATTTACGAAATGCTATCATCTTTATTAGGTAAAGTATATCATGATGACGGCTGTAGTATTGATATTATTGTTATGTTTTGATATCTGCCTTGTAGATATTTGATGAACAAAGAATCTGCTGATTAAAATGGATTATAGACATTATGATATTATTTAAATTTAACCCATAAATCCCCAAGCGGTCACCAGTGACCGCTTTCCACTAATATTACATTACATTATAGACCTTATTTGTAATGTTTAGAGAATACTTTTGTACGACCAAATTTAGGGGATGGATTTCAACGGGCTAAATTAGGCAAAAGAACTATGTCTGACACAAGCTAAAAGATATGACATAGAATTATGTCATTGTCAGTTAAGGTGAATAATGAGGTAACCAGCCAGGTAAACCAAAGAAAGTGACGAACTTGTGTCCTCGTCTTCTCTATTGTCTACCTACCTCTTCAGTGGAGGCTAGACGATTTATCCAATTGAAGTAATCAAATAATAATTTATGTATTGTAAAAAATGTCAAGTGCAGCGATCATTAGTTGTGCACCGCGGCCCGACAGGCCGTATTTTTATTTAGGGTGTTTTTAATATCGTGCGGATATCATCACGCGTGCGGGATTGCCCCGCATGCGTAAGCCCCGCAAATGTCCTTTTCATAAAAGTATTTATTATAATGCGTGGAATACGGACGCGGGACTATAGACTATCGGGTTTCACGCTGCGTGAAATTTTCTGCATGCGGGGCAATACCGCACGCGTGACGAAATCCGCACGATATTAAAAACACCCTTAGCGCTTATATTGTTGATGAATAACTAATATAATTCTTAGATAGATAAGTTATTATTTATAAATAATGAATTTATGATGTAAATGAAGTTATTGTTAGACATTCTCCACTGCTTTCGTAACAGCTGTCTAGTTGAGTACATAAGGATGTTATGTTACAAAATGTGCTTCATACGTAAGTTTTAATTCCTAAGTAGCAGTTGTGCAGTGGACGTCAATTTAAATTTCATGTTAAATTTTATTCTCTTCATATTACACAATGATGTATATAATCATATGAATGCCGATAGTGACCGAATAAAGTTTTGAATACAAAGATATATTTTTATAAAACCGTCGTTACTTTTCCGAATACTTTTATAGGACGCATTTTATATTACTTGTGAAATATGAAGCGATGGGATTGCAAAGGATTGGAACTATGATTATTATGACAGTATTGTTAACGGCTATTTTCCTAAGTAGCGGTGTTATGAGACTTAATAATTTATTTTAAATAAATGAGGGCCGCCACACTGCCCTAATATTAATCAGTAGTGATCGAGAATTGGGTGAAATATAAAAAATGAAGTATAACTTGTGTTTTAATTATTTATTACTCTGGTAAAAACGGTAATTAACCTTAGGTATTCATTATTTATTAGGAATAAACTTGCTTTTCCATAAACTGTTCTATAGCCATAAATATTAGAATTTATTATATTAAAATGAACAGTCTATGCATTTAAAATAATTCTATGACTTAGAATAGTGAGTGATATCAACCAATGGTTACGTTATGATGCAGTTTGAGATAGTAGAGCTGTGCTTGCGACTCTAGTTCCTGAAGAGATTTCACTACTGGCGCCATCTGGCTCACGTGGTCCTGTAAATTATAGAAGTGGTGATGACACACTACAACTATACAAATCAAAAGACGATTAATAATTATCAATAAACAAAATATTGGTTTAAGTTGTATGCGAGTCGTTTAATCATTCACAATACGAGAAATACGTATTTCACTTCACAGCACTAAATCAAGCATATTAAAATGTTACGGTTTGTTATTACTTTTATTCGCCCCAACGTTTAAAAGTGATATCATATTGATATTTATCTTTGTTTATATTAAATATTTATATAATGCTTACCTGATATCCAGTGCCAGTCTGCCGCTTCTTCTGACCGTACACGACTTTACCATCGAACTCGTTAGCGGGCACCTTCATGTCGGTCGCAATCTGCTGGATCGTGATCGTAAGATGGTCCTCTATGTCGGCCAGATACTGTAAAAACAATAAAATATAGAATTTATTAATATTTTTTAAGGAATGAGTACGCTATTTGCAGTTATGACGTCACAACACAATTTATGTTGTAAAATCATAGACAAGTAATTGTACTGAATTTAACTAGTTGAGACTATCCTATTTATTATTAGTTCCTGTTTTATCGTTTGCTATTGATTTCAGTATAAAAAATAAATTTGCTTGGATTGTGAAATAAAAAAGAAAGTAAATTACATAGTTACTTCAAAGAAAAGAGACAAAGGTATACCCTCTAGGAAACACAGACTCTGGCAAAGAATTGAGCTTCTTAGCAGTAGACACAAGGAAGCTTGATAATGAATTGTGTAGTAATGTAAATGCGATTGTAAGCGACTAAACAAAATGGTTACCTGTGGTTCATTATACCACATGCAGCAGCCCCGGGGGTGGTCGTCCGTGAGGTTCGTGTTCCAACAGTTACGGCCGCGGGACGAGCACCACTCGCCGTGATACCACACCTAGGAAGAGGCAAGGTGTTACACCAAGACACTACTGAAATATGTTATCTGGTTTGACAGCAACAAAACAATTGTTCATAATAAAAACATAAAGAAGTACATATTTGTTTTTTTTGACAGCAACCTATTTAGTAGTATTTACCTTCTCGGGAACAGTGGATACGAGACTGATAGCAAGACCCATACGTTCCGCACGACCGACACGCCCAATGCGATGCACGTAGTTTGATTTCTCGTCCGGCAAAGTCACGTTGATCACTGTTAAAAGCACATTATTTTATTTAATAACTAGTTTTGTTCAAATGTAGTGCGCGCGTGCTTTTGTGTGTGTGTAATATTAAAATAAACTTACTGAATGGCAGTCCAGATATATCAATACCTCTGGCGGCAACATCAGTACAGATCAGGAATTTGACTTGGCTAGACTTGAACTTCTCCAAGTTGCCTTTACGTTCAGCTGGCTTGCGGTCGCCATGGAGGCAGACACAACTGAACTCGCTACCGTACGACTTTAGGTACCTTTCCATGTTATCACAGTCCAACTTTGTGCGGCAGAAGATTATGGCTCTGTGAACGAAAATATATTAAGTGGTGTGGTAAGCGCGGTAAGCGCGACTGACGAAAAAGGAGTTTAGTGACAGATTTGGTGTATGGTTTTAAGCCAAGATAATTATCAAAATGATTTTGAGGCGAGATTTTGAGTAGCTACCCTTACCTGTCCATCTTATGTTCCTTTATAGCACGTACGCAGTACTCTCCCTTGAGGATCTTGATGGCCTCCGACAGTGTCTCAGGAGTTGTGTTACCGCTGCGGATGTTGTCCTTAGAGTGGACGCCGTCTGTCTGCACGTGCCTGTAGGGATGACTTCTTTTAGTCTTACTGTTCGAATCAATTTGTAAAAAAAATTACTCCTTACCACTAAGTATTTTGCAGACTTTTCTGACCTTGCCTAAAGCTTTCACTTACGTAAGTGAAAGCTTTAGGTATACTTTCATTAACGTAAACTTACTTGTGCAAAGTCTCCCATGAGCGGTCCTTCTGCGGGTCCACATTGACGACCACGTGGTGCACGGTCTCTGGCACTGAGTCCTCCCCTTTCAGATCTACCCACGTCGGGAAGTGCATCAGTTTCTCCTGGGAAATTGATCAATCAATTTAAAAAAACGGAATATTTAAATTAAACATGTTTATTTTTATAATAAGCACTGTTATGCACCTCTGTAGAACCTAAAAATTTAAAAATGTTCTATAATAAATAAATGTCCTTACCGCCATCTTCTTAACTTCAAAAGCGTGTAGAGTAGCTGAACAGACGACCATTTGCAATCGACGTCCATCCGAGGTGATCTTAGGAATTTGTCTGTGAAGTCGCTCAATCAGTTCACCATAGCCTGCCTTCAGCAGACCATCAGCCTCATCCAGTACGAAGAATCGACAGTGAGTCAATGCTAAGTAACCTGCATGCCATGCAACAATTTGTATAATATATTTGTTTCAGAGTCAGTTATACAATGGAAGGTAAGGCAGAACTGAGAAGTGGCCCCTCTTCATCAAAAATTATAGTTTTGTAGAAAAATATATAAACCCTAAAACATTGCCAAGTGTAATCACATTGGATAAGATCTTGGAAATGGAAGGCAAACAAATCCTACATCATTAAAAATTACCAAATGAATATCAAAAGAACAACTGATGATTACCTCCTTGGATTAGATCTTCCAATCGTCCCGGCGTGCCGACAACAATATCTATACCAGCATTGAGTGCATTGATCTGATCCTTTACATTTATACCTCCTACTACCAATAACTCGCGAATCTTCGGATTCTCTAAGTACTTCTTGAATTTCGTTATCTGGGTGCAGGTTTGCTCTGCTAACTCTCTTGAGGGCTGTGGCGACAAAATATTTAGCATATAGATAGATAGCAAGGGCCTGTTATTGGATGTGGTGTGTATAATCAACTGTCGATAAGTTCATTCCCTATTTGATGGGAGTTCATTTCAGAGTTCAGCTTTTCTAGTGCTCTCTATAAAGAGGTGTTGAAATATTGTTTAAACAAAATCTTATTGATATCACTCACCTCAATAATGATACATCTGGGTGCATTGTTGGCTGGTGTGGCTTCCACCGTGCTGTCTGATGATACTACATTCACTTTCATACCGTCTTTGGGGGCTGCTGCAATGGCTACATATTCTGCAGGTGGTGGATACTGGAGAGACATAGATCAGTTTATTAACCAAAATTATCTACTTTAATAGATACAATTGCATATTTCATTTTAATTGATACACTGGATGTGTCATTGTTGGAAGGTACCTTAAATGGTGTCTTTCCAAAATTGAAGCTCATCTCAGCATTTTTAAGTACAACAGCTGGGAAGTAGCACTCTCCTCGCCTGTTTGGGTCTATGCTGAATGCAACTCCAAGGTTTACTCCATTCTTGGTGTAGCTAATTTCACCAGTGTTCAGATTTAATAGACACCCTGTAAAACCACAGAAAGTAATGATATAAATCATCATGGAACAAATCTAGAGATGGGCACTGGGAAAAAACCCAAAGGGAAAAAACCCAGGTTTTTTCCCATTTGGGAAAAAACCCGGTTTTTATGTGGGAAAAAACCCAATAGGCGGGTATTTTCATTTATAATGATCTTATTCTATTTTTATTTTCAGAACTAAATAAATAGGTACTTTGTGATGCGCATAATACCTACATTCACTCAAAAAAGTATCGGGAATGGATGATTTGTTTATGGTTCCAAATTCAAATTTTTGTTTTTATGTAGTTGTTAGATTGGCACAACTGTTTTCCATTTTGGCGCGGAGTTTGAGTTGCATTTATTTATATTAAATACAGCGCTAGTTTCAGAAATATCATATATAATGTATATTGTGAATTTCATAATGGACACAAATATCGATCAAAGAGTTTGTCTTAAATTTTGCATCGCCAATGGAATTTCGTGTTCGAAGTCACTGAAAATGTTACAGAAAGCTTATGGTGAATCGACTTTATCAAAACCTCGTGCTTATGAGTGGTTCAAAGCGTTCAAAAGCGGTCGAGATGTGATGGAAGATTTGCCTCGCTCTGGTCTGCAACTGTAGTTAACATCGCAAAAGTGAAGGAAATAGTGACTGAAAATCCCCATTCAACTCTGAGAGAGATAGCCGCCGAACTTTCTGTATCTCACGAGTCGATCCGTACCATTTTAACTAATCTATACTATATATTAAAGGGTATGAAACATGTTGCTGCTCGGCTAGTTCCAAAAGATCTAAATTTTCTCCAAAATCTCAATCGCATGAAAATCGCTGAGGATAAGCTAGAACGAGTCAGTTCGGACCCAACATTCATGAAACGCATTGTTACTGGTGACGAGACGAGGGTTTATGAGTTTGGCATGCAAACTAGTCAACAAGCTTCGGAGTAGCGCCTTCCAACTGAAGCGAAACCGAAAAAACCACGCCAAAGTCGATCAAAAGTCAAAGTCATGTTGACTGTTTTCTTTGACTATCGCGCTGTTGTGCACTCTGAATTCTTACCAAAGGTCTAACGGTAAATAAAGAATATTATTTGAGCTTTATGCGGCGTTGAAGAGAGCAAATTCGATGAAAAAGGCCAGATTTGTGGAAAGAAAATTCTTGGATTTTGCACCACGACAAAGCGCCTTCGCACAAGGCTATCATTGGTGGCATCAAGGTGAACGAATTTATGACCAAACACTCAACAAATACCATCCAGCAACCACCATATTCACCAGATATGGCTCCTGCTGACTTTTTTTCCTCTTTTCTAAACTCAAATTACCACTTCGTGGCACCCGTTTTCAATCGATAGAAGACGTAAAGGAGAATTCGCGGCGAGAACTAGACTGTTGTGTGAATGTTTTGATGAATAGATTATTCGTTGGCGCAAGTGTATCGTCTCTAAAGGAGCATACTTTAACTCGTTGAGTACCGTCATTACAGACAATTAAAGAACAATAGGTTGCGGTCACCGGTGACAGTTTAACCGACCGCTCAGTGTTTGACAGTTAAAAGGTGATAAAATAAATTTGGATGAATAACAGACATTTTTGTATTATTGGTCTTTTCCCGGTACTTTCTTGACAGAGTAGTACTTAGCACCAGCGTGTATAAGGCACTAGCTGTTGTCTGTTATTTGAAACGTTAAAATGTGTAGTCTATTTCAAGGACTAAAACATAACCAACATATTTATTATAACACCATAAAGACGTCTTCTTGTTTTATAATAAGTTTTTACTGCGCTCTGTGATGGAATGTTAACAGCAGAAAAAATACCTATTAAACTTTAAAGAATGTTTGACTAAAATAATATAATTAAAACAACGAGAGATACTCTTACTAACAATCATTTATTATACTTTACAAAAGTTACAAAACTGTAAAATTACCGGTAAATTTAGTTCGTAAAAAAGTAGGTATCAAAGTCCGTAAGAGTAGCAGTTGTTGTCAATTCAAAGGATTAGGTAACCAAAAGTCCACCAAACAAAATCAAAGTCGTCAATTAAACCAACAAATTAACACGAGTGCGCACAGTATGAAGCCGAAACAACGTGTGAGATAGATAGATCACCAACGCGCTCGCCCCTCTACTACCTGCTTCCCTGCCCCTCTACCCGCTCACGTATTTTCGGGTTACCTGTCGCTAAGAGCGGAGGATCACACACAGGATTTTTGTTTAATTTCATTTTCTTTCATTTGATAGTAGGTCCCTAAGGATATTAAGAACGTTATTACTGCAATATGAACAAAAACAAAATTAAATTAGCTCTAACTTGTAGTAATAGTTCTTAAATAGTACGTACTATATGATATGTACATAATCTACACATTACTTATTTGTTACATGTGTTAAATATGAAAAAACCCGAATATTTTCCCATTCGGGAATTTTCCCCGGGTTTTTTCCCGGTTTTTTCCCATATTCGGGTTTTTTCCGGGTAAAATCCCATCTCTAAACAAATCAGATTTTCATTTCACCAAAAACCAAGGTTTTGCTTATTGAGAACAACTTTCTTTATTGAATATTAAAATTTTCAATAAATGCATGTTGAAAATATTTATATTGTAAAACAACTGGCTTACCTATAACATCATGCATTCCGTATGGTTCACCATAGTCATTAAAGTTTTTGTTATTTGACTTCTTGCCTGTGCCTCCGAAACCAAATCCCATTCTATCAGTACCGAGGTCCAGCCTTGCCTGAAAATATGCGATTCATTTATTTTTACTATCCCCCAAGCACAAAATGCACCACAAAACTATTTTATTACATTTGTTGTATTGTATTATAATTATGTGTTAATAAAGATATTCTTTTAATTACCTATAACAAGTATTTAATACGTGAGAATTCTATGTGTGATTCAGAAAAACAAAATATGGTGCAATTTATTGGAAATTATTTTATATAGATACCTAGAAGGTAATTATAGATTCATTAACAAGTTTTTATTTGTGTATGACGATTTTTGTATTTGTTCTGATATAACTTACAGCCTGTGTAGACCAGCCCACGCGGCAGAGACCTTCGTCTGTGACAGTGGCCTCATAGTAGTAGGCACCCTTGCTGTGCACACCTTTAGTTGCCCTACACCCATGCCAACCTTTCTGGTCGCGGGACTGACACCTCAGACCGTCTGGAGTGACCGCCAGAGCATCATTGCGGTCGAAAAATGACATAGTCAACTCTGTTGAGATCGTCTGTATTATCTTACTCGTTTTCCCCTCTTGTATATCTTTCAACGTCTCCCAAACTATCTGCAGGATTGGTAAGCAGAAAGCTCCAGTCTTGCCGCTACCTGTCTCTGCTGCCATGAGCACATCTCCACCACCTAAGATGAGCGGTACGGCTTCGGCTTGAACATCTGTTGGCAGTGTCCAGTCCATCTCCTCAATCGCCTTCCCCAGTTCGGGGAGGACACCAAACTCTTCAAACGCAGTCATTTGTCAAGGTTTGCCTACAACCTTAAAATTAAAACTTGAACTAACACAAATTCTTTTAATCACCGGAGCACCGGAGTATTGAGAAAATTATGAAGGAAGCAATACCAATAGAAATTCTATGCTTTGACAATGCAATACATAGATTATACACTATAACTATGCAATATTTGACATTTGTTTAACCTGACAGTCTGTCTGTCTATTGAGCTGTTGGTTTCCGTCGATATCGGTTCATGTCGTATTAAAAACTAAAATAATAATTAGTAGATTTAATACTTATAAATACGTTTGGTCACAAAACTTCAAGATTTTATTGTTGTATAAGTAATGTGGCTAATAGGAGCTTCTATTTCCGAGCATTAGTGATAAACAACTAAACGTTGAAAAATGATGTCAGTTTTCTATCTAAGTCAAATTGACAGTCTTCTTAACTGTCAGTGTCAGTCAGTCACAAAATAACCTAACTTCCCGGTAATGGAAATGTTATTTTTATACAAATAGTTTATTTATAAGAAAAAATGGAATTAGAATTACTCCAAAATTCTGAAACAAAAAAGCCTTCAAAGCTATCGTTTACAGGAAAAGCATTAATTTATGTCACTGGTGGTCTAGCGGTCGGAGTTAGCGTTATTTGTGTACCTTTTGTGGTACCAGCACTAAGGAAAATATGTTTACCATACGTTCCTGCAACCACTGAACAACTTCTTGGAGTTAGCAAAGCATTAGCTGGTCGTAATGGGAGACTATTAGACGTTGGTTCAGGAGATGGGAGGATTGTGTTTACTGCTGCTAAACTAGGGTTTCAAGCCGATGGAGTAGAATTAAACCCATGGTTGGTGTACTATTCACGGATTGCAGCTTTACTAAACCCCGTGTATAGGGGTAGCAAGTTTTACAGACGCGACCTGTGGAAATTTGACCTGAAGCCATACAATAACATAGTGATATTTGGTGTGGAACAAATGATGGATGACTTTGAGAAGAAGTTGATTACAGAGACCAACAAGGACACTGTAGTAGTGGCTTGCAGGTTTCCTTTACCCAATATGGTACCTGTAGAAACAATAGGTAGTGGTGTAGACACTGTCTGGAAGTATGTTGTGAAAAGATAACAAGAAACTATAAACTTACATAGCTTTATTATTTATTAGTTTAGTTATATACACTGTTGTTAGTAAATAAATTATATAATATCTAGAAGCGGCCACTTCTTTTCCTGCCTGTATATTTTGTATCAGGTTTAGTATCTTTGCCTTGTTTTCTCCTCCTCTCTTTTTTCTCCATGATCCAAGCTCTAGTGTTTTTGACTGGTTTGCCTCTGATATTTCTTGTAGCTTCTCTCTTAGAATATTTCACTTGAAGATTATTGTCAGTTTCATCAGTACCTAACATAAAAGAGACAGTATAATTAAAAATGAGTGTATATATACAGAATTTTGAATTGCATATTCAAGTGTGGGACAACCATGCTTCGGCACAAATGGACCAGCTTGATGGGAGTTATAGTTAACATAGGCCCAATTCTAATACCCCACCCAATCTCCCTAATCCTCAATAATCCTTAAAAGCCGGAAATGCAGTGGTAACACCTGATGTTTTGGGTGTCCATGAGCAGTGCCAATTGCTTACCATCACATGATCAATCTGTTCGTTTACAGGCTTATCCGAGAAAAAATATGTTCCAAGTAATTCTGAATAACTGTTGTTCTTAACTCGTCGAGTACCGGTTTTGTAGACACAATTATAGAACAATAGGTTGCGGTCACCGGTGACCGCTTGGTGTTTGACAGTTTAAATAAGTTTTAAGTAGACACATGAATTGAGTATATTTACCTAGAGCTTGAGGTAGTGGAGCAGATCCACCAGTCATTAAAACCAAAAAGAACTTCTTTGCTTTCGCTGAATTTGGAAAATCTACCACAACACCTCCATAGAAACCAGCTTTCATTGCTTGTGAGGTTACAAGGTCCATTTGACTTTCATTCTCAGGGTAGAACTGGAAAACTGCTCTGGCTGACCTGGACTTAAGAAAAAAAAAACAAATGAGCACATATTTTTGTAGATGTTCCTTTGGTTTATTGAGAGATTAAAAGAATAGCTAAATAATTTACTTACCAGGCAAGCATATAGAGAACTAAAAAACTGATGTAATCTTTTGACAGGGTTGTGTGACTTCTTATCAGCATTGAAAAGCCACTGTAGGGCTGACACTGAGACTGCTCCATCAAAGCATCCTGCTCTGAATGGTACACCTTCACCCATGTCTGAGAGTACCAAGTCACCTTCTGTTTCTCTTTCTTTAGCCACATCTGGAAGAAAATAAGAAAAAATATTGGTCAGTGGTTATCCTTAGGGATCTAAATCGATTTACTTTAAGACAAAAGATCAGTTACCAAGCATAGCCGGTGAAATATCCATGCCAATCCACATATGTCCGCTTTCCTCCAGAACTGTACCAGATAAACCTGAACCACATCCTATGTCTAAAAGCAAACAGGGGATATCCTCAGGCAGTAGAAGCAACTCTAAACATCTCTCTGTCATCTGTGCCTGAATGTCCATAATACGCGAGCTAAAAATAGAAATTGCCAGTGTTTAGTATATTACAACACGGAATTTATAATTGTCTTAGATAATTAGTGAACTAAACTCACTTTTGTGTATATTTTCGGGCTTCATCTTCATTGTAGAACTGAAAATAACAAAAATTATTTAGGTAAACAAATATGTATTATAATGTTTAGTTTTATAAAAGACTCAAATGGTAAAACATTATCTTACCACTTCAGGTGGTGCTTGATGTTCCGGTCTTTTAGACATGATTATGAGTTAGGTTTTAATGGCAAAGGCACAAGTTTTCAATAATAAAAACAAATTCACACGAGACCTAACCTTAAATTTGGAAGTCGAATGTCAAGCAAGTCGTCATCGTCAATTCGTCAAATTTACTTGAAATTGACACTTGACAGTGTGGGTTCTGAAAGAAAAATAGTTTCCGTTATGTTGGTAGACAGTGCAAAAACTGCATTCCAAAATAAAATATTATTGTATTAGTCGATTTTTTCAAGAAAATGAGATAGGTGCAACTCTAGGCTCTAGTTTTCATCTGTCAGTGTCAAAATAGCGCGGGAGTATCGAGGGTTTATTTTTATTTACTTCTGAGCTGATCCTAATTTATTTATTTAACATAATTATCGTATCTTTTTTATTTTCGTTAAAGTTGCTATAACTCTAGATTATTTTATTGTAATATGCGGAAAACATTAAGTCTTAAGAAGGTACAACCTTTAGTTATTTCTTAGCCTTTTTTAAGTGCAATTAGAATATTTAACTTACTATAACTCTTTAATTTTATTAGGCAGGCCCTTCAAAAAATCAAAAATCTATTACGGATTTCCTAAAGAGTGCTAATAATGGTACCAACCAGAGCCAAAAGCCGCTTGCAGCTGATAAAAAAGATTCCGTTCAAGAAAGAATTACTGATAACAAAACTGCCAAAAGAAAGGCTTCTTTGATTATTGATGATAACGACTTTGAAGAATTTGATGAAAATCCAAATAATGGACGTTCTAAGAGTACTCCAAAGAAAATTAAGACTGAAAATAAAACCGAATCACCATACTTTAAAAATAGCCCAAAGAAAAGATCACCTAATAAAGAAAACATTTTCACGAAAACAATGTCTCCTAAGAAGAATCTGATGATATATTTTGATGCATCGGGTAGTAAGAATACTAAAGAGTCTGATAAATCATCACCTAAATTGGGAAAAATTAGTTTGACCCCACCAAATGCTAAGAATAGTATAGATAATCATGTATCACCTGACAAAACTAATAATAGTGTCAATGACAAATCATGTATATTTCAAAATGGGGATAAAGTAGACCATAAAAGAGGGGTTGTTACCCCGAAAAAATTGTCACCAATTAATAGTAATGGCCATGTACCCAGTCCGAAGTTAAGAAGGAGCAAAACACCTAAGAAAAGTCCACTGCAAGGTATGTTCTCCATGAACTAATAAAAAAATCATACCTTTGAAGTTTAATTTTTTTAGGGGGGAAAATCATGACATCAAGGAGGGATCCTTGGGTGAGGCAAGAGGGAGTGTCAGATTCTTACTGAATAGAAACCAACCAGTTTCTATTTAGCTAGACAAAAAATTTGTATTTAACTGTATTTTATGTGTAAAACTGCAGATAAAAGTATTACATTAACTCGTCGAGTACCGGTTTTGCAGACACAATTATAGAACAATAGGTTGCGGTCACCGGTGACCGCTTGGTATTTGACAGTTTAATAGTCTAAAACTTGCTTAATTTCATTTGCTAAGGATACACCAATGAGGTAAAATTAAAAAATAGTATCTATATTCCTTCTATTATTATGTTTCAGAGTTCTTTTGCTCTCCAATCAATATACTGTCAACTCCAGAGAAAATTCTCACAGAGATATTATCTCCATCTAAAAGTGGTTCCACTGTCAAAGTGCTAGATTTTGGTACAGAGGAGCTCTGTGATGACTTTGGAGATGAATGGGACCTTAATGATATGGAGGAGGTATGTAACATTACATCACACGTTTTATTTACTGAAGAGTTGGTAGCAGTGTTGTAAGTTGTTTTATGTATTTTTAAAATGTATTGTGCATTTTAATAATTTTTCGTGAAGCAGGTGCAATTCTTCCTTTACAAATATGGTTATTTATTTTGGTCATTGACATTGAAACTAGTCATTATATAGCATGTTCCGTCCTGTTTAAAATGAGTAGCAAAGATTAATGACTCACACTGTAATGACAACGCCAATGTTTGAAATTGTAATGACTCATAGTACCATAAAATACAAGTGGATTGTTATTTGATGCAAATTTTATTAGTTCAAAACAAACTATTTTAACTTTTAGGCATACAGTTGCATACCCTTTAATTTATATCATGCACAAGAAAATACACAACTCCTGTGTCAAGAATAAGGTTTTTTGAAATGAAATATAACAAACGGTTTTTTGTATATCTTATCTGCAATATGTTATTTTGTAATGTATAAAAGGCGCTTGAAAATGTTACAGGATGGCATAGAAAATTTAGATCTGACTACAATGCAGCGCTGTGAGATACTGAGTGCTAAAAATGTTACAAATAGAATAGAATTAAAGTTAAAGAGTGCTGATGACAAGAGAGCTACATGTTTTGTGGAAGGATTCTGGTGAGAAATTTTTAGTTGGCTATCTAAAGTCCAGCTAGACCTAGAATTGCTATTAATAAATATTACTGACTTCTAACCAACTTAAATAGATGGTATCCTGTTTCAGAATACATCAACTGTGCATCATATTCAGGGAATAAAATATCATATTTTTATTATTTGTTACAGGATAGACACTCCATTAGTTCCAGGCGATATAGTCAGTGTATTAGCCTCGCGGGATTCCTCAGGGCACTACATTGTGACCAACACATCTGGTCTCCTCGTCTTACGACCCGACCACTTGATATCCAGCACTAGTGTTGTTGCAGGAGTGTTTTGCAAACGTAAGGCTGTGCTGCAGGAACGATGGAGAGGAATCGACTCCGCTAATATGGCTGTAAGTGTCTATTTACATACATCATAATTATAATTTTGAACCTGAAAAGTCAAGAAGAGATACTTACATAATTGTAACACTCACGTTATCGTTAATTAATATTTTTGTACGCAATACGTAACATAGTCTTACTTATCGTAATATTATCGACATTGTGATAACAACAATTTTATATTAATTAATGCATAGTCAAATACCTTCACATTTTCCATAGAAATTTCGAAGATAAAAAAAAAATTTCCTCGACCCGGGAATTAAAACCCTACTATTCTTTCTCGCCTTCTTCTAACCATTGGACCAACGACAAAAAGGCCAGTCAATATTTATACATACAATATTTGATTACAGATGACAACAGGAATATTAATACACGAACTGGTTCAGATAGCTCTGTCTGACAAGATCACGGCGACGGACCGCCTTCGTTCAGTGACGGACGACATTATAAAAGAGTCAGTTGAGAGGCTGTTCGATGCCGGATTGAGTGAGGAGGAGGCGAGGAATGTTGTGTACAAGTATATACCGCCGCTAGCTGACTTTATGAACACTTATGTAGCAGATAAACCACCTACTGTGGCGGTAAGTTCAACTTTATCTTCTTCTAAGTCATTTTACCTGCAGG